ATGAAATGTTATTTCCATACTTCAATACTTTCTATACAATTCGACCCGAAGCATATGACAATCAGAACCTTCCTAAGTCAAAATTGAATCGCACCCAGACAGGAGCGAATAGTCAATATAAGGTTGAAGAGGGAAGGAAATCAAGAGCACGGCGAACTGCAAACGTAAGCAAAAAGCCGGGAACAACACCAGCCCAGCAACAGCGAGTGGGGCTTCGACAGGCCATAAAGTAGAATAATAACTCCCGGGGTCAGGGGACACAAGAAGAAGCAGGCAGACAAAAACCAGAACTGACTCCAAGGTTCAACCGCCCTCACCTACTCAGGGGTGACGGAAATTAATGAGGCCTTGAATTAACGGCAGGCAACAACAACGGCGAGCAGAGATAGGGTGGGGCAAAGACTGCGGGCTAGGAATGCAACTTCGTGTCAGTAAAGCCCTGACAAACAAGTTAAGTTAAAGACATCACAATACATAATATCGCACATAACATCAATGTTAACGCTATTCACCGTAAACTATATTCCGCTTATATAACCATCCAGGCACCAAGGAATACGAATTCCTAGGATCAAGAAACTTACCCCTTAACCTAAGATATCGGAAATAAATTAATAGTAATAAGTATATGCATGAAAGACAAAAGTAACACTTATGGAAAAGCCAGGATAACGGGATGAATCACCACCAGGTCGAATATAAATACATAATAAAAAAAACGATGTTAAACCCAGGGTCGGAGAGAAAGGGAGATCCCGGCCGTCTTTGTATCCCCGCAGCGCGGGATAGGAGTGTGTGTACGCTCGGGGAAACACCTACACTTGGGTCGGGAACCACGATGGGAAACGACAGACCTTAGGTTACATACAGAATCATAACTGTGAAATAGTAAGGGACAAATGTTAACTTAAAACTTTTAACCATTTCTTTGTGCGCCGGGTCGGAGAGAGTGTTGCCCCCCTCCAGGTTGTGCAACACGAACAAAGACGCCTATGAGACGATTTGTAACGTCTGTGTTTTGGGTTCATGAAGAAGGCCAGACAAGAGATAAATTGCACCCAGACAGAGAGACGACTTCGAGACAATTTGTAACATCTGGTTGTTTGCTCGTGGGTTTTATGGAGGGAGTTGACAACGGAATATACCGTCAGTGATGCACACAAGGACATACGGACACACACATGGACACACCTGCCTACGGACAGATCCTGACACAGCAAAAATCGGAAGCCCCGCCTTGTGGGCGGGATCCAGGGGGATTTTTCAGCATAAAGGAACGGATCCTGAACATTGGAAACCAGTGCGACGGGAGGGTCCACTCAGAAGCTCGACCGGGAGGGTCGACTCAGCAGGAGTGCGACGGGAGGGTCCACTCAGAAGCTCGACCGGGAGGGTCGACTCAGCAGGAGTGCGACGGGAGGGTCCACTCAGAAGCTCGACCGGGAGGGTCGACTCAGGAACGAGTGCGACCAGAGCGGGTCCACTCAGGAGTGCGACCAGAGAGTCGACTCAGGAGCGAGGGCGACCAGCGGGTCGACCCAGGAGCGAGCTCGACCGGGAGGGTCGACTCAGGAGCGAGCTGCGACCAGCGGGTCGGCTCGACTCATCTTCAGCTCGTCAATCTCTGCTGCCGCCGGAGGTCTCCGCTGCCGCCGGTGGTGAGCGTCGCGACTTGGCGACGATCCAGCGCTGCACGCTACGAGCGAGTTGTGGGCGCCACCTACCGACCGGGTTCCGAACTGCGACAGCGTATCAACAGCCATCCGAGCCAATTCACCACGGTGACAGGAGAGCGCCTGATACGTATGACGCGCACCGCCCCCTCACCACACGACCACCAGGCGTCTGTTTGACATAAAGAATCGACTCCGAACACTGACTATTCAAGACAACTCTTACCACTCAAAACACTCGAACCCATAAGCCATCCGTGGCTGGAAAGCATCACAACGAGACCGAGGGATGGCCCTCCGTCGTTTATAAGAGTATTCTTAATTTTTATCTTTAATATTTAGTGGGCTGTACTCTTAATCGCATAAATTCCCAACAGATCCATCAATACGAACTGATTCTTGGCACCTCCTTCCGCCGAGCCACGCTCACGTGGGGAGTGGTGGCCCACCGGATCCTTATCAGGTGATCTGGTCCCCAATTAGTAAACTTGGTATAAGATAACGAGCTTCGGAAAAGGAGCACCGTCGCAGGCCCTTACTCCGGGCCGTTCTGTTGTCAGATAACCTGCCGATGTATCTGTTGAGATTGGTGCCTTTAAGAATAATAACTGTTTTGATTGTGTTTTTTTTATCGCCGTATAATCTTTCAAGTATCTTTCAGTCATAATCGCCGCACGTACTCGCATCCTCTACAGAATATTCAACTGTCCCGTGACCCAAGGTGTTAACAACGTGATAAGGGTTGCGTATGGTCAATAAGGAGTGTGGTACTGCGTGAACAATATTGAGTATAATCATTCATTAACGTTAAGGTTTTCTTAGCATAGTATTTGCATGTTAACGACTCTCTCTCTCACTAACAACCATCGCGTTATGCGGGATCCATGTGCCGTTGTCGAAGTGAAATCCGACAATCGTTGATGATACTGTATTGATGCCGTATTGACGTTCCAGGATTGAGAGTTCGCATACTATATCATAGTTAAGGTTGAATTAGTAATAAATTGATCAATACAGAAGTGGTTGTGTGATTCTTTCCTGAAATCTATGCATAAGATCTGCTTCTGCGTTGAGATTTGAACTTGGTGACCTTAATAAACACACTAATACATACTCAGTAAATGTTAAAGCGATAACGGGGTGAACCGGGGTCTGGTTATCATAACGACTTGCGTTGTCATAATTACACCCACTCGCATAATTAATACGATTACCTCTCGAATTGGCATAATTAAAATGTGCGTAATTACATAAATTAACATATTTCCGGATAATTACACATTTGGCCAAATTTCATTTAATTATTATTATTTCCACTGAATATCCATAACCCACATATACAACATAATAATTTCACCCACGCACGCATACAACATAACAAATTTTCATACCCAACATATACAACAGGGCCCTATCCAAACAATGGTACTGTGTGCACTGACACTGAGTAGCCGCAGGCACCTGCAATGCAAGTCAAAAGTAGTTTCAGCAGCGGTGTGCCAAATTATGAAAACATAGTGTATTATCGGAGACCTGTCAAGACAAATGTGTCTCCTGAAATCCCTGTGAGCAGAGCTTCATATTCTGTCAGGGGAACATGACTCCAAGATGTGACACAACTAAATTACAACTGGTGTCACTTCAGTAATCGGATTTACTGTGCTTACATATTTTAGCCCTTTGAGCTGTGCTGCATTAAATTAAATTGAAATATAAATTAACGTCATTTCAGTTTGTACAATGGCGACAACTTCAACTGAAGCCATGTGCAGAGTACTGTACTGGCTCATCTTAATAATAAGCAAGACGACGACCATGGTCACCACTTACTACCGATGATATTGCCAAGAGGTGGCTGGAACTCAGATTCAATGCCCTGTATCTCAGCAGCTCCAACATGGCCATAATGACCACACTATTGCAGCGGTGAATATTCCACCTGCTTAAGGTGTGCGCCAGCATCTCCATGCCTCCCAGTGTGTCTGTATTTGCCACAAAGTGGCACTCATTAAATCCTTTATATTAAGTTCGCTTGCTTGCTTGCTTGCTTACGACCGTGCAAATCTTTCAGTCGTTTTTTAACCCACTTCCCGTGATCCAATCGAGCTGACATTTTGCACACAGACTCGTTGTGCGAGACAATTAATGTTCGTGAAAAAAAATCCAAAATTTTACACTGTTTAGGTAAAACAAATTAAATATTTAATTACCAATTGCTTAATACTGGCAGACAATCATCTGTCCCATAGGTGGCAACCATCTCAAGCCAGAGGACGAGAGGACTCTAGCCGCCACGCATATAAAGGATTTATAGTGAAAAACTTTGTTTTTACGGGTTATACTTATTTTATCGACTCCCCGAGTGAATGATGGGCTCAGGTGACTGCAAGTCAGCTGTTGTGCTACAACGCCACCTCGCTGTTTTTTGTACCGTTTTTAAACCGCATAACGCAGATGAACACAATTTCAGAACTAAACAAAAAACACATTTGTAATGCTACGTTGGCAATGGTGCACAGGCACAACCAACACCTATTATGGAAGTGTCAATAACACAGTGTCAATAACACTTCCCTAATAGGTTAACAATTCTATATAATAGACAACGTTCCGGGCAACGACCCTTTCGCGCCAGTGTTATACACGCGGCCATATTGGTGATACATTGAATCAGTCATTGTTCACAGTGGACGAATCCGATGAGCTATAAAGCTCTTGCACAGACGTCCATAAGAGGCGGGTCAGAAAGTTACAAGCAAAATTTTAAAAAAACACGATGTGCAAAATCACAAAAAGGTTTCATTTTACAAGGTAAAGCCCACCGAGCTATTAGCTTTTTTTAGCAGCGACCTGGCCATACATTATAGCTCAACGAAGCGGCTTATCACGTGGACAATTTATAGCAGCCAAATAATGTAAATAATAATATTGTAAACGCGTGTTTCTACATGACCACCAGCATGGCGGTCCTGACAACACACGTGTGAGACGAGAGGAGGGGGGGGGGCATTGCAATTAAAACATTCCACAGATTAAAAATGTATAATAAACCGAATGCACATTAGAGCAGCAACACAAACAAATAAGCCCACACCTATCACCGTCCAATCGTTTACGCCGTGAGCTTGCACGACAAATCATGCGCATTACGTCACCGCAATGCCCGTATTACAGTACAACATTAAAACTAAACACATCCTCGGTAACATTTGTGAATGTTCGCACGTAGGGGGGGTTGGTAGTATTGAAATAACCCGCCCAACCACCACCACAAGTCGACTTTGCAGTTGTGAGTGCGAGATCGAAGCGATATTTGTGGCTACTCACTCGGACCCAACGCTGGGCATCCCAGGCCTAGTAGTTTAGCTCCCGAGCGCCTTCGCCTCTCGCATAACGGGATCGTGACAAAGAGACGAGTTCTAGCGACGTAAAACCACGACTTCGCGCTAAGCGATGGACAAAAGTGGGCTACGGTGCATAGTTTAGTGTTGTTGTTTAAAGCGATGTAGGTTTATTTTAAAAAAAAAAACACACGAAAACACACAAACACGGCTAAGGAAATCCTAGCCCGGCGAGAGACCAGAGCGAGTAAACACAGGCCCTGGGCACTGGCACGTTCATGCTAGAGGGTTTCCCTCCAGATTCCTCTCAGTGTCAGAGGAGGTGTTCATGCTAGAAGGTTTCCCTTCAGATTCTTCTCAGTGTCAGAGGAGGTGTTCAGGCTAGAGGATTTCCCTCCAGATTCCTCTCAGTGTCAGAGGATTTTTCTCCAGATTCCTCTCAGTGTCAGAGGAGGTGTTCATGCTAGAGGGTTTCCCTTCAGATTCCTCTCAGTGTCAGAGGAGGTGTTCAGGCTGAAGGATTTCCCTCCAGATTCCTCTCAGTGTCAGAGGAGGTGTTAATGCTAGAGGATTTCCCTCCAGATTCCTCTCAGTGTCAGAGGAGATGTTCAGGCTGGAGGATTTCCCCTCCAGATTCCTCTCAGTGTCAGAGGAGGTGTTCATGCTAGAGGGTTTCCCTTCAGATTCTTCTCAGTGTCAGAGGAGGTGTTCAGGCTAGAGGATTTCCCTCCAGATTCCTCTCAGTGTCAGAGGATTTCCCTCCAGATTCCTCTCAGTGTCAGAGGAGGTGTTCATGCTAGAGGGGTTCCCTTCAGATTCCTCTCAGTGTCAGAGGAGGTGTTCATGCTAGAGGATTTCCCTTCAGATTCTTCTCAGTGTCAGAGGAGGTGTTCATGCTAGAGGGTTTCCCTCCAGATTCCTGTCAGTGTCAAAGGAGGTGTTTATGCTAGAGGGTTTCCCTCCAGATTCCTCTTAGTGTCAGATGAGGTGTTCATGCTAGAGGGTTTACCTTCAGATTCCTCTCAGTGTCAGAGGAGGTGTTCATGCTAGAGGATTTCCCTCCAGATTCCTCTCAGTGTCATAGGAGGTGTTCATGCTAGAGGATTTCCCTCCAGATTCCTCTCAGTGTCAGAGGAGGTGTTCATGCTAGAGGATTTCCCCTCCAGATCCCTCTCAGTGTCAGAGGAGGTGTTCAGGTTAGAGGGTTTCCCTTCAGATTCTTCTCAATGTCAGAGGAGGTGTTCAGGCAAGAGGGTTTCCCTTCAGATTCCTCTCAGTGTCAGAGGAGGTGTTCAGGCTAGAGGGTTTCCCTTCAGATTCCTCTCAGTGTCAGAGGAGGTGTTCAGGCTAGAAGGTTTCCCTTCAGATTCCTCTCAGTGTCAGAGGAGGTGTTCAGGCTAGAGGGTTTCCCTTCAGATTCCTCTCAGTGTCAGAGGAGGTGTTCAGGCTAGAGGGTTTCCCTTCAGATTCCTCTCAGTGTCATAGGAGGTGTTCATGCTAGAGGATTTCCCTCCAGATTTCTCACAGTGTCAGAGGATGTGTTCAGGCTAGAGGGTTTCCCTTCAGATTCCTCTCAGTGTCAGATGAGGTGTTCAGGCTAGAGGGTTTCCCTCCAGATTCCTCTCCGTGTCAGAGGAGGTGTTCATGCTAGAGGGTTTCCCTCCACATTCTTCTCAGTGTCAAAGGAGGTGTTCAGGTTAGAGGGTTTCCCTGCAGATTCCTCTCAGCGTCAAAGGAGGTGTTCAGGCTAGGGGGTTTCCCTCCAGATTCCTCTCATTGTCGAGTGAGGTGTTCAGGCTAGAGGATTTCCCTCCAGATTCCTCTCAGTGTCAAAGGAGGTGTTCATGCTAGAGGGTTTCCCTCCAGATTCCTCTCAGTGAAGAGGGAAGTGTTCATGCTAGAGGATTTCCCTTTAGATTCCTCTCAGTGTCAGAGAAGGTGTTCATTCTAGAGGATTTCCCTTCAGATTACTCTCAGAGTCAGAGGAGGTGTTCAGGCTAGAGGATTTCACTTCAGATTCCTCTCAGTGTCAGAGGAGGTGTCCAGGCTAGAGGATTTCCCTTCAGATTCTTCTCAGTGTCAGAGGAAGTGTTCAGGCTAGAGGGTTTCCTTCCAGATTCCTCTCAGTGTCAGAGGAGGTGTTCATGCTAGAGGATTTCCCCTCCAGATTCCTCTCAGTGTCGAAGGAGGTGTTCAGGCTAGAGGATTTCCCTCCAGATTCCTCTCAGTGTCAGAGGAGGTGTTCATGCTAGAGGATGTCCCCTCCAGATTCCTCTCAGTGTCAGAGGAGGTGTTCATGCTAGAGGATTTCCCTCCAGATTCCTCTCAGTGTCAGAGGAGGTGTTCATGCTAGAGGATTTCCCTCCAGATTCCTGTCAGTGTCAAAGGAGGTGTTCATGCTAGAGGATTTCCCTCCAGATTCCTCTCAGTGTCGGAGGAGGTGTTCATGCTAGAGGATTTCCCTCCAGATTCCTCTCAGTGTCAGAGGATTTCCCTCCAAATTCTCAGTTTCAGAGGAGGTGTTCATGCTAGAGGATTTCCCTCCACATTCCTCTGAGTGTCAGAGGAGGTGTTCATGCTAGAGGATTTCCCTTCAGATTCCTGTCAGTGTCATAGGAGGTGTTCATGCTAGAGGATTTCCCTCCAGATTCCTCTCAGTGTCAGAGGATTTCCCTCCAGATTCCTCACAGTGTCAAAGGAGGTGTTCATGCTAGAGGATTTCCCTCCAGATTCCTGTCAGTGTCAAAGGAGGTGTTCATGCTAGAGGATTTCCCTCCAGATTCCTCTCAGTGTCAGATGGTTTCCCTCCAGATTCCTCTCAGTGTCAAAGGAGGTGTTCAGGTTAGAGGGTTTCCCTTCAGATTCTTCTCAATGTCAGAGGAGGTGTTCAGGCTAGAGGGTTTCCCTTCAGATTCCTCTCAGTGTCAGAGGAGGTGTTCAGGCTAGAGGGTTTCCCTTCAGATTCCTCTCAGTGTCAGAGGAGGTGTTCAGGCTAGAAGGTTTCCCTTCAGATTCCTCTCAGTGTCAGAGGAGGTGTTCAGGCTAGAGCGTTTCCCTTCAGATTCCTCTCAGTGTCAGAGGAGGTGTTCAGGCTAGAGGGTTTCCCTTCAGATTCCTCTCAGTGTCATAGGAGGTGTTCATGCTAGAGGATTTCCCTCCAGATTCCTCACAGTGTCAGAGGATGTGTTCAGGCTAGAGGGTTTCCCTTCAGATTCCTCTCAGTGTCAGATGAGGTGTTCAGGCTAGAGGGTTTCCCTCCAGATTCCTCTCCGTGTCAGAGGAGGTGTTCATGCTAGAGAGTTTCCCTCCACATTCTTCTCAGTGTCAAAGGAGGTGTTCAGGTTAGAGGGTTTCCCTGCAGATTCCTCTCAGCGTCAAAGGAGGTGTTCAGGCTAGGGGGTTTCCCTCCAGATTCCTCTCAGTGTCGAGGGAGGTGTTCAGGCTAGAGGATTTCCCTCCAGATTCCTCTCAGTGTCAAAGGAGGTGTTCATGCTAGAGGGTTTCCCTCCAGATTCCTCTCAGTGAAGAGGGAGGTGTTCATGGTAGAGGATTTCCCTTCAGATTCCTCTCAGTGTCAGAGAAGGTGTTCATTCTAGAGGATTTCCCTTCAGATTCCTCTCAGAGTCAGAGGAGGTGTTCAGGCTAGAGGATTTCACTTCAGATTCCTCTCAGTGTCAGAGGAGGTGTCCAGGCTAGAGGATTTCCCTTCAGATTCTTCTCAGTGTCAGAGGAAGTGTTCAGGCTAGAGGGTTTCTTTCCAGATTCCTCTCAGTGTCAGAGGAGGTGTTCATGCTAGAGGATTTCCCCTCCAGATTCCTCTCAGTGTCGAAGGAGGTGTTCAGGCTAGAGGATTTCCCTCCAGATTCCTCTCAGTGTCAGAGGAGGTGTTCATGCTAGAGGATGTCCCCTCCAGATTCCTCTCAGTGTCAGAGGAGGTGTTCATGCTAGATGATTTCCCTCCAGATTCCTCTTAGTGTCAGAGGAGGTGTTCATGCTAGAGGATTTCCCTCCAGATTCCTGTCAGTGTCAAAGGAGGTGTTCATGCTAGAGGATTTCCCTCCAGATTCTTCTCAGTGTCGGAGGAGGTGTTCATGCTAGAGGATTTCCCTCCAGATTCCTCTCAGTGTCAGAGGATTTCCCTCCAAATTCTCAGTTTCAGAGGAGGTGTTCATGCTAGAGGATTTCCCTCCACATTCCTCTGAGTGTCAGAGGAGGTGTTCATGCTAGAGGATTTCCCTTCAGATTCCTGTCAGTGTCATAGGAGGTGTTCATGCTAGAGGATTTCCCTCCAGATTCCTCTCAGTGTCAGAGGATTTCCCTCCAGATTCCTCACAGTGTCAAAGGAGGTGTTCATGCTAGAGGATTTCCCTCCAGATTCCTGTCAGTGTCAAAGGAGGTGTTCATGCTAGAGGATTTCCCTCCAGATTCCTCTCAGTGTCAGATGGTTTCCCTCCAGATTCCTCTCAGTGTCAAAGGAGGTGTTCAGGCTAGAGGATTTCCCTCCAGATTCCTCTTAGTGTCAGAGGAGGTGTTCATGCTAGAGGATTTCTCTCCAGATTCCTCACAGTGTCAAAGGAGGTGTTCATACTAGAGGATTTCCCACCAGATTCCTCTCATTGTCAAAGGAGGTGTTCAGGCTGGAGGATTTCCCTCCACATTCCTCTGAGTGTCAGAGGAGGTGTTCATGCTAGAGGATTTCCCTCCACATTCCTCTGAGTGTCAGAGGAGGTGTTCATGCTAGAGGATTTCCCTTCAGATTCCTGTCAGTGTCATAGGAGGTGTTCATGCTAGAGGATTTCCCTCCAGATTCCTCTCAGTGTCAGAGGATTTCCCTCCAGATTCCTCACAGTGTCAAAGGAGGTGTTCATGCTAGAGGATTTCCCTCCAGATTCCTGTCAGTGTCAAAGGAGGTGTTCATGCTAGAGGATTCCCTCCAGATTCCTCTCAGTGTCAGAGGGTTTCCCTCCAGATTCCTCTCAGTGTCAAAGGAGGTGTTCAGGCTAGAGGATTTCCCTCCAGATTCCTCTTAGTGTCAGAGGAGGTGTTCATGCTAGAGGATTTCCCTCCACATTCCTCTGAGTGTCAGAGGAGGTGTTCATGCTAGAGGATTTCCCTTCAGATTCCTGTCAGTGTCATAGGAGGTGTTCATGCTAGAGGATTTCCCTCCAGATTCCTCTCAGTGTCAGAGGATTTCCCTCCAGATTCCTCACAGTGTCAAAGGAGGTGTTCATGCTAGAGGATTTCCCTCCAGATTCCTGT